AAACTCCAATTGTTCACAAGTTATATCTGAATAACAAAATGAGGCAAAAACTAATTGATCTGATAACATTCTTCAACTAAGCAACAGTTAGAACTTAGCTATTTTTCTCAACTGTATCATTTTGATTTAATTCTCAAAAACTCAGTTTTGAGAGTCACAAAATGCGTATTCCTTGAGCCAGCTCAGTGGCCCTATAATAGGCCCTGATGTCTGGTAATCCCAGCCCTCCCTTAATATAAGGGAGCCCTAAATTACGGTATGCCACTCGAGGTGGCTTTCGCTTCCACACATGTGCATTAATGGTAGATTGGAATTGATTAATAAGTTTGGTAGGCAGTGATATTGGCAATGTACAAATAGGTAAAGGATGAGAGGCAGGATCATCATTTTTAGAGAGTTTATGCGACCCAACCAAGAAACTTCTAATTCAGCCCATTTTACCAGTGAGGTTTTTATCTTGTGTAGCAATGGATAGTGGTTTTCTGTTGGAATTGTTTGGAGGGATTTAGTCAATTGAACCCCTAGATTGGACAGTTTTTTTTCCCTCCAATCAAGTTTGTATAGATTTTCTAGGTGGGTCACTACGGCTTGAGCGAGATTTACGGGTAAAGCTTGGGTTTTGGCCTTATTGTTTATATAGTAGGAGATTCTACCATATGTGTTCAGGATTTCTAGTAGCTTCGGAATTGAAGTTTTTGGGTCCGAAAGAAACAGGAGAATATCATCCGCGAAAAACGCGAATTTTTTCATACTCCCGTGGTAACTAAACCTGGAATTTGTGTGTTCTGGTTAATTTGGTGTAAGAGTGGTTCCAAGCATAGGATAAAAACAATTGGGGACAGCGGACATCCCTGGCGCATGCCGTTGCATATATGGAAAGGTGTAGATAGGAACCCTGTGCTAAAAACTTTAGCTGTCAGTTGTTGATAAAGGGCCATGATACTAGATATGAAAGCGGGTGGGTAGTTCATTCTTTCTAGCGTTCGCTCCATGTAGCCCCAGTGCAATCAATCGAACGCCTTTTCGGCATCCAAAGCAAGGATCAGACCACTCTGGGACGAACGGTTGGCCCAGTCTATGAGGTTCAGAAAATGTCTGGTGTGGTCCCCAATTTGCCTGCCTGGTACAAAGCTTGCCTGTTCATCAGATATTAGTGTGAGAAAGTCTTGTCGCCACTATTTTGGCATAGAGTTTTACGTCAGCGTAAAGATATCAGGCGGAGATTGGCGCAGAATGTCGAGGGTTTGTTGGGTTTGGGCAACGTTTTTATGTTGGCTTCTAGCATCTCCTTCGGAAGTATGCCTGAGTCTTTAATGGTGTTAAATAGCGTGGTGAGGTGGTGGGACAGTTGATCCGCTAGCTTTATATAATAATAGTTGGAAAGCCCATCCGGGCCTGGTGCTTTGTGTTTGGGGAGTGTAGTGATCGCTTTCTTAACCTCCTCCACCGTAAACGGGTTCACGAGCATTGCACATTGGTTTTGAGACAATTGAGGTATTTGTACTAGGTTCCAGAATGTATCTATTTCCTCCCTAGTAGGCTGGTGTGTTTCTGGGTCTATATGTAATTGGCAGAGGGATTCGTAGAACCCTGCTAGCTCATTAACAATGTCCTGAGGATGATATAATGTTATCCCCTGTTTGGATGTAATATAGGGAATTTTAGTTTGCAATTGCCTCTGTTTCAATTTGTTGGCCAGTCGTTTGCCTGCTTTATTTCCTGTACTATAGTAAGTTTGCTTTAGATACTGCATATACTGTTCAGTCATGTGGAGTTGTAGGGAGGTAAGTTTAATTTTTAAAGTCATGAGATTTTTGTGGTGCTGTCTAGTTGGGTTGACTTTGTGTAGGGCTTCTAGCTCTATGATTTCTTGTTCTAGTTTAATTTGTTCGCTGAGGCGTTTTTTCTTATTTAGGGTGCTCATTTGAATAAGGTGACCCCTTACCACCGCTTTATGTGCTAACCATTGGGTCGTTAGGGGGGTCGTACATTGTTTATGTTCAAAAAAGTATTGTGCTAGACGGGTCTGCAGGTCAGTTAAAATTAAAATTTTGGGTTGTCTAGTATTGCTTCATTTAGCCTCCACGTGCGACTCTCACATACGGACCCCCGCCCACTTTGGCTGTCCCTAGAGAATGCATGCATAAGTCCACACAACATTGCTAGCTCCCTATGGTCCAACATGGTGTCCCCAGTCAAGTGTGCCCATATGCTACACAATTCCAAATTTCTAGTACATGCTTGGGGATACCGGAGTTCAACCATTATTAAACCCGACACCCTATTCCATTCTGCACCATTTGAGGTGCTGATGAGCATCTCCCCAGACCTAATGATTAAATCGTGGGTCACAAAAGGTATTCAACAGGTGAATGATCTATTAGAGGGGGATAAATAGATTCCCAGTGCTCCAAAAACAATACTCGCTACCACCGAGAAACCTATTTTTGTACATGAGAGTAAAAAACTTAATGTTTTCCAGGTTAGACAAAACACATGATGTACTTCCCAAAGTGGTAGTGAATGTACCCTCAATGCTTTCAGCCAAACACTTGAAACCTCTCTCTCTATGTTACAATGCTCTTCTCCAGGGGCCTGCAAAAGACAAAATGACCTATATTATCCAGTGGGAGAAGGAGCTAGGGTATGAGATACCTCTGTCACATTGGCACGAAGCTATGTCAATTACTAAACGGGCCTCAAGGAGCTTATCACTCTGGGAAGCCTTCTGTAAAATCACCATGAGATGGTACCTGGTGCCATACAAGTTATCGCAAATCTTTAAGGAGGCATCGGAGCTATACTGGAGATTCAAAACACAGATAGGCACTATGCTACACACATTTTGGGATTGTCTGGCCCTGGGAGAATACTGGGACCAGGTGGGGAAATTTATCTCTGATACCACACTCTATAGAATACCAAAGAAGTCAACCAGCTACCTTCCGCATATCATCCCCGGGCTGATACACCACCCCAACCACAAAGTATTGCTCATCATTCTCACGGTAGCTAAGATAAGCTTGGCGTTACACTGGAAGAGCACGACAATTCCCTTGTTAGATACTCTCATACAGAGATTGAATATGATAAGTATTTACGAGAGAATGGTTAGCAAAACACAGAGTTGTGTAAGTAGGTATGTGAGAGATTGGGAATGCTGGACCACAAATATTGGAAAGGCACAGGACAGCAATGCTAACAATGAGGAAACTGATAGGAATAAATAGCTTATAGGACACCACTTTTGTGTGACTTGAATGTCCGGCCAGGCTCTAGGGTTCTAAGGCCAGGGTATGTGTCACAAGAACTGTTGCATAAGCAATATCAATGTGAACCTAACCCCCACACCCCCCTTTTTCCTTTCTGTTTTCCCCTCCCTCTATGTTATCTTTCTATGGTATTCTTATGTTTTAATGAAGCTAATAAGGCTACAATTACCGGACAACAGCATAATACGTTTAAGCAAAGCTTTGATGTCAATCTAGGAAAAATAGTTGTAAATTGTCGTATAGCAATTGTTTACTCTGTTATATGAAAATGTTACAGTTTTGATATTATATGCATTGATAACATTCTCTAATAAAAATGATATATGAAAAAAAAAACAAAAACTCAGAGTTTTGTGAATAACCTTGAGTGAAGTCTAGAAACAATTAGGCATTGGTTGAAAAAACAAACAACTATTTCCTTGTGCTAACTGCAAAGCCAATGACTTACAATAATGTGAAGAGACATACTAAAAATGTATACAAAATGTCTAGAAAATTATTATTGACATGAATAAAATAGAAAGTAATTTAGGGAATAATTTTATTAAACCATGCAATAATTATGCTACACCTGCTTGCCTGAAGTGAACACATGAATAGATAGATGTTAGTTAACTAAGGAGATAATGACACCCAGTGTTCACTTCACAGACTGCAGTTTTATCCTGGATTATAGGATATGGCATTCTGTTTTTTCCAAGAGATAATTTGAAGGATCAAAATTACTAGTATGCTGGATCTACAATGTTTATTTCAGATTGTTTTTTTGGGGGGAGGGGGATTGGGGACCAGCTTGGTAGGTAATTTAAATATATCTTATACACTTTTATTGAAATGTTTTTTTCATTAACACTAAATATTTTCTTGTTGGTTGCAAACTTAATTTTAAACAATATTTTACAGTTATAAGGCAGGAAGAAAATATTATGATAGGACAATTTACAAGCAAGCCTTCATTTTAGATAGTCCAATAGTGGCCACCTGTGCTATTAATCAGATCTCAACCACGTTAACAGTTGTTTTGTAACTACAGGAGATACAAAGGTGCTTTTGCAACCATCCATGATTCTCTACAATCCCACCATCAACCTCCTTCATATTTCGGCATCGTAGAAAGAGGAGTGAAAAATTCCTTTCACCAAAACAAGTCTGTTTCTTTGAGAAGCATTGGATTGGTCAATAGGATGAATAACTGTGCATGTTTCATTTTTTAACATAAATCCAAATACTAATTTATAGTTACTAGTAGACATGCATTTGGTTTCCAGATTGCCATTCGGCTGAATTTGGGGCAATTGGATAAGCATGCTTGGTTACTTCAGGATTTGGAGTTCTGTTCCTGATGCCAAAAAAGGATGATGGAATGGAGCAGAATCTGATTTTTTTTTTATGGAAATAAAATAAATAAGCAGTTTAGTTTGACGTTATGGACAAAAGATTTGCCGAATGATATGGGCTGAATGTCATGTCCAATCAAGAAGTGGAAAAAAGATGGATTGATTAGGAGGCAGCCACTAAATGCTGATTTTATTTACAGATAAAGTTACAAGTAACCAATAGAGGGAAAAAAGTAGGAGCAGCAAAAATATATTCTTCAAAGTAGGATTCTTCTAAAAGACACTTTGACTGCAATTGAGTGAGAAACACCTGCAGGGTCTGATTCATTAATCCTACTGTGAAACTGGCTAGGTTTAGGTTACTGCTGTACCTTCCTAACTGTTAAAAGTTTCACTTACAACAACTTTGGATGGAAGATAGTCTTGGTTATTGATTCTAGTGTCAGGCTGGTTAGGGTTCGGATGTGCCGAGCCATTGCCAGTTGCAGTTTTACATACACAGTGCATTTTACATTGATCCACTGATTCAAAGTGTGGCAACTTTAAAATAAAAAACCTGATTTTAGAAAGAATTTTTGTTTGGATGTGTTCAGTTCAGTGTGTGCTGTGCAAGCGTGTGAACACTGAGCAATGCACTTTGTGCAGTGTAAGGTTTCTTAAAGTCAAACACAATAATGTTACAGTAGTAAATCCACCAAGCAGCAACCCAATTTTCCGCACAAACATCTATTTTCCCTAATAAAGTGTTTACACAATACACACATTCATATTCTAAATCTAGAGAACTGTATAGAGGTACATGCAACTCCAACAAGCTGCTCAAGGATGACTGCAATGGCAATAGATGTGGATAGCAAGCATGGGTGCAAAAATGGACAACACCAATCTTGCTATGTCTCCATTTTTGCACTTATCACTTATCAGATCAAGTTCCACTGTTTCTATTAGCAAACAGCTCCTTCCTGTAGAAGACTTAATAGCCACCACAGTCCACACAGAGCACAGCAAAGGCATCATCTATAGTATTGCTTCATTGAGGGCAGAACTTTCATCATCTGGTCCTATATCTCCAGTATCTTCCAGTGCAAGTGGTGATGTTTCAAGATGGTGTAGTGCTAAATTCCAGCCCTGGAAACTGACTGTACCCCTTTTCTCTGGAAAACCCTACTTCCCTACCTTCTCATCTACTAGATTCGTATGAAAAATTAAAATAGTTGTTAAAATAATAAAACAAATAATATTTGAGTTCCAGAGATATGACTAGCACACACAGGGGCGGACTGAGAGCCTTTGGGGCCCCCGGGCAAAATTAGATCCCAGGCCCTTTGAAGGCCAAATATATGTGCATTAAATAAATGTTAAATATAACTCATAATACAGCATTCCTTTGGATGTGTATATTGTGAAGACCTGTGTATCAATGCACGTTTGTATTTGAGTCTGTGTGAATGCACTTGTGCATGTGAATGCATGTGAATGCATATGTGACAGGTGACAGTGTGTGAGGGAGAAGGTGACAGGTGGAAGAGTGTGGGAGGTTGTGACAGGTGGCAGAGTGAGGGAGGGAGGGGTTGAGTGGTGGCAGAGTGAGGGGGAGACACAGTGAGTGGGGGTGACTAGTGACATAGGGAGGGAGAGGGGGTGACTAGTGACAGAGTTAGGGAATGGGTGACTAGTGGCAGAGTGAGGGAGGGAAAAGATGACTAGTGGCAGAGTGAGGGAGGGAAAAGATGACTAGTGGCAGAGTGAGGGAGGGAAGGGGTGACTGGTGACAGAGTGAGGGGATGACTGGTGACAGAGTGAGGGAGTGACTAGTGACAGAGGGAGGGAGTGACTAGTGACAGAGGGAGGGAGTGACTGTCACTAGTCACTCCCTCCCTAACTCTGTCACTGTCACCCGCTCCCTCACTGTCACTAGTCACCCCCTCCCTCACTCTGTCACTAATCACCCCCTCTGTCCCTAGTCACCCTCTTCCACACTCTGTCACTAGTCACCCCATCCCTCTCTCTGTCACTAGTCACTCCCTCCCTAACTCTGTCACTGTGAAGGAAGGAAGGGGTGACTGGTGATAGAGTGAGGGGATGACTGGTGACAGAGTGAGGGAAGGGATGACTAGTGGCAGAGTGAGGGAAGGAAGGGATGACTGGTGACAGAGTGAGGGAATGACTGGTGACAGAGTGAGAGAGGGGGTGACTAGTGACCGAGTGAGGGAGGGAGTGGGTGACTAGTGACAGAGTGAGGAAGGGGGTGACACAGTGATAGTCACCCCATTCCTCCCTCTGTCACTAATCACCACCTCCCTCACTCTCACTAGTCACCCCTTCCCTCCCTCACTCTGTCACTAGTCACACCCTCCCTCTCTCTGTCACTAGTCACACCCTTACTCACTGTCACTAGTCACACCCTCCAGGTGACAGAGTGAGGGAAGGGGTGACTAGTGGCAGAGTGAGGGAGGGGTGACTAGTGACAGAGTAAGGGGATGACTGGTGACAGAATGAGGGAGGGGGTGACACAGTGACGGAGGGAGGTGGTGACTAGTGACAGAGTGAGGGAGGTGGTGACTGTCACTAGTCACCACCTCCCTCACTCTGTCCCTAGTCACCCCTCCCTCTGTCACTAGTCACCCCTTCCCTGCCTAACTGTCACTAGTCACACCCTACCTCACTCTGTCACTAGAGTGATGGGGTGACTAGTGGCAGAGTGAGGGAAGGAAGGCGTGACTAGTGACAGAGTGAGGGGATGACTGGTGACAGAGTGAGGGAGGTGGTGACTAGTGACAGAGTGAGGGAGGTGGTGACTGTCACTAGTCACCACCTCCCTCACTCTGTCCCTAGTCACCACCTCCCTCACTCTGTCCCTAGTCACCCCTCCCTCTGTCACTAGTAACCCCCTCCCTCACTCTGTCACTAGAGTGAGGGAAGGGGTGACTAGTGACAGAGTGAGGGAGGGGGTGACTAGTGACAGAGTGAGGGAGGGGGTGACTAGTGACAGAGTAAGGGAGGGAAGGAGTGACAGAGTGAGTGAGGGAAGGGGTGACTAGTGACAGAGTGAGGGAGGGGGTTACTAGTGACTCAGTGGGGGGGTGACTAGTGACAGTAGGGGGGTGACTAGTGACAGTGACGGGGGTGACTAGTGACACAGTGAGGGGGTGACTAGTAACACAGTAGGTTGGTGACTAGTGTGACAGAGGGAGATGGTGATTAGTGAGGGAGGGGGTGACTAGTGACATAATGAGGGAGGGGGTGACTAGTGACAGAGTGAGGGAGGTGGTGACTGTCACTAGTCAACCCATCCTTCCCTCTGTCACTGTGTCACCCCATCCCTCCCTCTGTCACTAGTCACCCTCTCCCTCACTCTGTCACTAGAGTAAGTGGGTGACTAGTGACAGAGTGAGGGAGGGGGTGACTAGTGACAGAGTAAGGGAGGGAAGGGGTGACAGAGTGAGTGAGGGAAGGGGTGACTAGTGACAGAGTG